AAGGGGATTCTGGGTGGGCAGAACACCTGTCTCTGTTCATTCCATCAATGTTTTAAGTAAATGGAAGCATTGTTACCTAAACTGTCAACCACTTTTTCTATTTTTGCATTTGGACAGCGCCATCAGGAAATATTTCCCCAACTTGTTACGCTTGGTAAGTGCCTACATTCATCATCTCTTACTTACATTGACAACCTCCACACCTGCCCTCAAGCCCTTTATGTCTTGCCTGGATTACATGTTTGCATCAGAGCCTTATCCATTTTGGGGGACAAAATGGATAAGGCTTTCCTCCCTCTCCCTCAAAAAAGGGACATCTCTGAAAAAGACATGAAGATGATCTTTTTGAAAATGTACCCCCCCACACACATAGAGATAGAAAGACAGGGAGAGAAGGTGGGAGGGAGGAAGGGAGAGAGAGAAACAGACAGATACACAAAAGTTGCATAAAGTAGTATGCATAGTCTCATGGACACTGACATTTATGTGGTGAAGGCATGGGCGGAGTGGAGGGTACTGTTGCAGGGCGGAGAGAGACAAAGGTGGGGATGGGGGAACACCTGTAATAGAATCAGTCATAAAAATAAACAGTTGAGACTTCCAGGATCTCATGATGCAGATGCCCACTAGAAACTTGCCCATGGAATTTCCTGGGGCTTTTCACTCCTGACCTCTCACTTTCACCATCTTCTGGGCACATCTTTCCCATAGTCATCCAGGACTACTTCCCTGGTCTATACTACTAATTTACCCCTCCCTTCTCCAGGATGGCCAGGATTTACTCCCACCGATTGCTGTTGACATTGATAGACACTACTTAATAAAGGTGAGGAAGAAAGATCAACACTTGGGCTATTGTAAAGGAGGCTTTATCAGCCACATGGTCTCAAATGTCTTTGATTCCAGGAAAAATATAAAGGATCTGATGTGATGAAGACTCAAGTCCTGCAATTCCTGCAGCAGTAAGTACCCCTGAAAGTTTTAAAGTCCCTTTTGAGACCCAGTCCCTAGAGGTACACTCTTCATTGTCCCCTCACAGATATTACTTGATCTATGACTCTGGAGACAGACAGAGTCTCCTCGGTGCTTATCACGATGAGGCCTGCTTCTCTTTGACCGTTCCCTACATCCAAGACAGCCCAACCACGTGAGTATCAGTGCAGACTCTCATTTGGGGCATGTGTCTCCCCAGCAGAAATCTGCCAGCTCCTGGAAACACCCCCACTGGTCGGACCACCACACCCTGTTTTGTTTTTTTCTCCTAGAAGCAGCTTGTTTGAGTACTTCAAGGATGCCAGGAATATAAAGAACCTCCAGGACTCCAGTGCGTGTGGGATGGGGAATACTGGGCAGGGAAAGGGAACATGAAGGGTCAGTCATAGGCCCCAGGATGTGGCAACCCTGACCTTTTCTGTCCTTCCTCCATAGGTCTGTGTTTTCAGCTGCTGAAACGTACAAAACATGACATTGTGAGCTCTCTCTCTGTGTTTCCCAAAACACAGCATGACCTCAACTCCTTCCTGGTGGACATGTGGTTGGAGTCGGTGAGCACCCTCTTCTTCCCTGGGACAGGCCCAGAAAGATGCAGCTGGGAGTCAAGTGTATGTGGAGACTGAGCACATGTGGTCTTTTTTTTGTTGTTCAGGAAAGCCTGCTTTTCTTCTGTGTCAACGGAGTGTTCAAGGAAGGTGAGTGTATGTAGGTCCCCTCCCCAGGTCCCCCATGCTCCCTCCTCCTGGTTGGGCTCCCTCTCAGAACTCTCACAGCTTCCCTGATTCCTTCCCTTTTCTTACTATTCCCTCCATGTTTTCCTGCCTCCAGATACTGCCCCCAAACTAGGCTGGTCTGACCTGCATCCATGCCTATAGCTGGGGTGATGGGTACACAGATGTGGGGTTTGATTGCTGTCATCCCAGATCCTGACTGTGCAAACATAGGTCCATTATCTAACCTTTCATTTTCCTCATTTGCAAAATGGGGATAATAAAACACACTCCTTGGGGAGCTTCCAAAAATGAATCAAATGAACTAGTGAAGTGGTTGTCCCCGGGCCCAGGACATGGTAGGTTCCTTCTCAGTGGAAGCAGATTGCTCCTAATGTTGCCCTCCCTATTCCTCGTAACCTGACTCCCAGAAAATAGTTGTCTCCTTGGGCATGAGTATGCAGTCCCACCCTGACTTGGGAATGCTGAGTGAGTGTGTGAAGCATGTGTGATGCTAAGGAGGTATTATTGTTTGTTGTTGAAGTGGAAGGAAGGTCTCAGGGTTCTGTGCGTGCCTTCACCCGGACCTTCATCACTACCCCTGCCAGCGATTCCAGGTGAGTGTTATGCTCTAGGTGGGAACATACAGCCCAACCTGGGCTCAGGGCTGTGGGAATGTGGCAGTGCATGTTCTCAGGGTTTTCTCAGTGTTGTGGGAAGCCAGCAGGTTGATCCAAGGAACAGTCCTGCTATGGGGTTAAGAGCTTGGGCTCTGGAGTTAGAACACTGAAAGTGTTTCAGGTTTCTTTCAGGTTCTCTTCATGACGCCAACACTCACTAGATTTGTACCTGAGTGAAATCACATGGCCCTCTCTGTGACCTATGTCTTCCTCTGAAAATGGGATTAGATTGTCCTCTCCCTTGGGCTGTTTCACTGAGTAAATGCAATGGGGTTAGGGGTACAAATCTATTGAAGCTGGTAGACAATCTCTCCAAGGCTGAGGATGTGAGAAGGGAAAAGGAATCTCAGGAGCAGATACAGGTAGGTATGGGAGGAATCTGGTTGCTGAGTGGCAGTGGAAGCAGGATCATTGTTGAGGGTGTGGGGTTGTCCATCCGTCAGTTATCTGAGATATCATTTTTTTTTTTTTAGTATGTTCATCGTGAATGATGAGCTGTTTGTGAGGGATGCCACCCCAAATGAGACTCAAAGTGCGTTTTCTACCCAAGTGCCCACACCTTCCTGCAGCACTTGCCCCACCCTCTCTCAGGAACAGCAGGAAATTGTGCAGATTTCCTTCAGCCTTTCTCAGATGAGCCTCTAGTGGTCTCAGAAGTGAGTGATGGGTGTGTATGGGATAAGAGGGAGCTGGGAGGGTTGAATAGTGGGAACTTGTAGGTAATTATTTTAGATATTTTTTTTACAAGAGTTCATGTGAAAAATACCTTAATTTTATGCTAATACATCGAAATATAACATCTAGCTTTCCTACTGGACATGCTGTTTTGAAACTTGTTTATTAATTATTAGCACCATCATAGTTTTCTGTAAGTATATATTAGGCTACCTTATTCCTTCTAAGAACTGTACATTAAGCAGTTGAAATCCAGTAGGCCATAAGCTATTATTGATAGATATTTGTCCTTCCACTGCTTTTTCAACATTACATGGAGTGCTACTTGGTCATTCTGGTGCATACATCTTGGTAAATTTGGAGGCTTCGTTTTGTGGCAAGATTTAGCAGTGATATTGTGAGGTCAAAGTGTCTCCACTTTGGTCCTTTGAGAGGTCATCTGTCCTCCCCCAGCATAAGTGCTTTTAGTACAGTGAATAGATGATAGCAGCTCATTAAAAAGTGAAGTCTGAGAATTCAGAGATAAAAGGAAACAGGTCCCAGGCTTTTAGTAAGGCCAAGTCGACAGAAGTCAGGTGGCCTGGGGATAAATCTTAGTGGCCTTTGCTCTGCTGTCTTCCCAATGCTCTCTCTTGACTTTCTCTAGATGAAGAGCAAGATCCCAGAAGAGGCCTTCATGCAGTGACCTAGGATCTTGTAAACAAAGCCCAGGAAACGAGCCCTTAGGTGCTCTCATTTTCATCCTCATCATATTTGTTATATCTCTCTTGCAACCTGAGGCCACCATCCATGACTAAGGCTGAAGCTGGACTAACCAGGAATCCAAAGTTCACCTTGAAGCCTGCCAATTGTTTCATACTTTTCCCACTCAAGATCCTTTTTATTTTCATATTAAAGAGTTACATTGCAAATTGTATGTTTTGTGTCTCGGGTTGCTCTTCCCCTGTCCTAACCATGAGCCAACAGGGCCAAGACCAGAAGGTCCAGTCTTCCCCTTTATTCATGGCAGTCTCTAGCATTTATTTATTTTTTATTTATATTACTTGAATTTATTGGGGTGACATTGGTTAACAAAACTATACAGATTTAAAGTGTATAACTCAACAAAGCATCATCTGCACACTGCATCGTGTGCCCAAAGTAAAGGAACTTTCCGTCTCCATTTATTCCCCCTTTGACCTCTTCCATCTCTCCCTGCCCCCCAACTTTCCCTCTGGCTATCACCATATTTTTGTCTGTGTCCATGTGTGATATATATCTATAGTTACATAAAGATATAGATATATAGATATATAGAGATGTATATATATATATAGTCCCAAAAATGTATACAAACTTTAACAGCTGATAGCTCAACTTTGAAAATGAAGTGTATTTTATTTTATTTTTAATGTATCTTTATTGTTGAAAGTATTACAGATGTACCCTTTATTTCCCCATTGGCCCCTTCTAGCCCACACCCCCCACTTCCCCAGGCCTTCACCACACCATTGTCTGCATCCATGGGTCATGCATATAAGTTATTTGGTTAATCTCTTCCCACACACCTACACACTCCCACCTTCCCTCTGAGATTCAACAATCTCTTCCATGCTTCTGTGTCTCTGGATCAATTTTTTTTAGTTCATTTTGTTCTTTAGATTCCACATATGAGTGAGATCATGTGATACTTGTCTTTCTCTGACTGGCTTATTTTGTTTAGCACAATATTCTCCAGTCCCTCCAGGCTGTCTCAAAGAGTAAGAGGTCCTTCTTCTGTATTGCTGCATAGTATTCAGTGGTGTAATTGTATCATAGCTTTTTTCCCCTTGAGGCATAGAAGTGTTTTATTGGAGAAGTGATATCTGGTATTGTAATCCCTCTAACTTTGTTCTTCTTTCTCAGGATTGCTGTGGCAATCCAGATGGTTATTTACTAGTATAGTATTCTGATTCCCAACCAGTATCCAGGCTGAGTAGTAGCCATGCAAAATTTTAAGTCCAATGCCTGGGACTTATTTTCCCTCAGAGACTCTTATGAACTGGAGAAGCTGGAGGCTAATAGAAGCCTAACAAACCATACTCTTTCCTGCTGTGTCATTGTTTCTGTCTCTGCTCTCTAGTCTCTTATGATAATGTCATTTTCAATCAGGCATTGCTATTGATTGAATTGTGTCCCTCAAACTTCATATGTTGAAGCCCTAACTCCCAGTGCCTCAGAACATGTCTGTATTTGGTGATAGGGCCTTTAAAGAGGTGATGAAGTTAGAGGCTTAATTATGGTATACCTTAACCCAATCCTACTATTGTCTTTATAAGAAGAGTTTAGGGACACACAGAGAGGCACCAGGGTTATGCATACCCAGAGGAATGACCATATAAAGAATCAATAAGAAGGTGGCCATCTTCAAGCCAAGGAGAGAGGCCTCAGAAGAATCCAAACCAGCCAACACCTTGATGTTGGACTTTCAGCTTCCAGAACTATGAGAAATAAAATTCTGTTATTAATACACATAGTCTGTGGTATGATTGCTTGTTATGGCAGCCCATACAGTCTAATGCAGGCATTATAAACATGCTTCAGCCCTTTGCAGGTCATAAAGCGGATACAGTAGCATGTCACATAATCGATGAAAGTTAAGTGATGGTAAAAAATAGCAATGAGTAGTAAAACTAAGATAAAGATAGTTTATTTGTAATATTATCAGGCAAAATAGACATCAAGTAATATTTCAAATAAAGAAGGCCACTCCTTAATCATAAAAGAAAATTTATTAAAAATAAAATTTCTGAACTTACATTCACCTGTTGATAACTTCAAAAACATATAAAGCAACAAGTAACAAGCTTACAAGCAACAGAAAGTAAATGTCACTTTTGTTTTCAAAAGAGGATATACAGAAAGCCAAGAGACATATGAAAACATACTCAAAGTCACTAATCATCTGAGAGATGCAAATCAAAACAACAATGAGGTACCATCATCTCACACCTGCCAGAATGGCTATCATCAACAAATCAACAAACGATAAGTGCTGGAGAGGATATGGAGAAAAAGGAACCCTTGTGCTATGCTGATGGAAATGCAGACCGGTGCAACCTCTGTGGAAAACAGTATAGTGTTTCCTCAAAATAAAATAAAACTAGAACTTCCATTTGACCCAGTAATACCATTTCTAGGACTATATCCCAAGAAACTAGAAACACCAATCAGAAAGGATATATGCACCCATATGCTCATACCAGCACAACTTACAATAGCTAAGATTTGGAAACAGCCTAAATGCCCATCATCAGATGAATGGATTGGAAAACTGTGGTACACCTACACAGTGGAATACTATGCTGCTCTAAAAAGGAAGGAACTCTTACCATTTGCAAC